TTAGAAAATATATTCTTTTTCTCTTGGCTTTTTTTTTTTGGTTCACTGGAGACATGAAAAAATAAACTTAATTTCATTTTACAAGTAGAGGTGTTTATAATTTAAATATCCCTCTCTCTCTCTCTCTCTCTCTCTCTCTCTCTCTCTCTCTCTCTCCATTTCAAAGCGTCAGTGTAAATAATTCCATTCGTTTTTCTTTCATTTTGTTTCCATTAACTTGAAAAACCTTGAAGTGAATAAGTCCTTAACCTCTTGTTCGTCTCGCAATTGTGTTTGTTCGTCATCTGACACCTGTGAAATAGTCATCTGACACATGTGAAATAGTCATCTGACACATGTGAAATAGAACAACCTTGGATCTCTCGCCTCCATTGAAAACACTACACATCCTTCCGCCAGTGTTGTGTGGGGAGGGCAGGTACTGTTAGTGGTGTTATTATATGTTGCTCAATATTGGTGTTATATTTTGGTGTTGTGCGTCAATGGTTTTGTTGTTACATGTAGTTACTGCTTTTTATTGCCTTGTATTTGGTTGTGATTGCGTTACTGTTGTTATTATGGTTGTAATTGTTCGTGTGTGTTGTAGGATATCTCTTTGTGTGTAACTAATATTAAGTTTACTGTATCTTGAGGGTCTCTCTGGCATCCGGGCCTAAACATAATTACCACACACTGATGATCCTTACGTTGTAATAACCACTTTACCTCAGGGGTAGAAAACTTCTTAATTGACTTTAAGGCTCCAGAACCGTACCTTTTGGCTGTGTGTGTGTTAGTGATCCCAATATTCCCTGGGATAATGACTTTAGCGAGGAGATAAAAATTCCCTCTTAAATTTGGGATTTTTAGGTCAAAGGTCAAGTTCATTGATATATCACCCACCAGACAAGGAGTCATCTGTAAATTTCTGAGTTATTTTCCCTTCATGACCTGACTGGTAATGCATCTCTTACGTGAGGGATGTGTTTTATATCGTAGGGTAATGACCTAATTCTTCGTCGATTCCTTGTTAGTGTTGGTATTTCTACTTGAAAAAATATATATTGATTTCATTGTCATTCATTGTATCAAAACTGTAATACAAAAGTTCTACATCTCACAAGTACACTGACTTAACCCTTTGAGTACAATGACTTGGTCTCTGAGTATAATGATCTGACCTCTTGAGAATAATGACTTAATCTCTCAAAATTAATGACTAAATCCCTTGAATATAATGACTTGATCCCTAGAGTATAATGACTTTAACCTTTAAATACAATGATCTGTTCCCGTGAGGATAATGGCAATTCAAACACAGGTCACAAAGTCACCTTACTCCAAGGGCTCAGATATCTCACTCACTGAGCTAATCCTAACCAATCCTAACCTAACCTAAACTAAACTAACCTAACCTAACGATTTATTACTTAAAACGCGACAAGAATAAATCAGCTATTGTTCCAGCTTTAAAATGCTACTGGAATAAATTAGCTATTGTTAAACTTTCCAATATAAAGGTAGTAATATTTCTATACCATATTAATGCGATAGTTATCAACCACAAGCAATACACTATTTTCATGGAACAAATCTGGTAATATGTTGATTATTATTATTATTATTATTATTATTATTATTATTATTATTATTATTATTATTATTATTATTATTATTATTATTATTATTATTATTATTATTATTATTATTATTATTATTATTATTATTGTTGTTTTTATTATTATTATTATTATTATTATTATTATTATTATTATTATTATTATTATTATTATTATTATTATTATTATTATTATTATTATTATTATTATTATTATTATTATTATTATTATTATTATTATTATTATTATTATTATTATTATTATTATTATTATTATTATTATTATTATTATTGCTGTGTTTACTAAGTCTTAACCAATAAAAAAAAGTGTTATCAATATCCAATAATTAGCCAGTGCTTAAATACGAGAGTGTAATTAACGATGCTTAATGACCCTGGTAGTTGAAACACCTGAAACTAAGACCTATTGAAGTACCTAAACTAAGATCTAATCAATGTTGTCTTAATAATCCCAACACTCGACGTACCTTAAACTAAGACCTAATGAGCGACACCTCAGTAACACCTTTGAAGTAAACTGCAACAAAAACAACCAAACAACAAAAACAGTCAACGATGCAATTAGACCAGTTCTCTCTATTTTTCTTAATTAGACATACAGTATGTGTTAATTGTTTGTTTTTTTGTTAGTGTGTTTGTGAGGGACACCTGAGTCACGTAGGTCTCACGGACAAAGACACTAATTGGCCTAATTTTCTTAATGAATGGGAAATGGAGAATTGTAAATATTTTTCTTCTAGAGAGTCCGTGTGTGTGTGTGTGTGTGTGTGTGTGTGTGTGTAGAATAAACGTACGCTTCTGAACAAAATACTTCAAGAACGTATGGAATGGCTGTAATGGAACTTGACAAACTTAGGATGGTGACTGATCCGGAAGATAAACTGGAGAAGTTTATATTAACGAGGGAAAACTTTATCACAATAACCCTCAGCTGTGACTGACCTCTGACATGCCTAACGTAACCTAACGTAACCTAACCTAACCTAACCTAACCTAACCTAACCTAATCTAACCTGCTTACACTAAACTCAAATGGTCTATTTCACGTAATCAAATGGCTAGACATGAAATAGCTTCTGCCTTCATCAGTACTAAATGGCTCCTTCCTTCACAAGTAGTAAATAGCTCCTTCCTTCACCAGTAGTAAATAGCTCCTGCCTTCACTAGTAGTAAATGGCTCCCGCTCTCACCAAGATCAAATAATTCTTTCCTTTACCCAAATCATAATGTCCTTCCCTCTCAAGTAGAATTAAATAGCTCTTGCCATTACAAAAACCATTTGACCTTTTCCTTGGCTAAGCACTCGACACCCTTATCAACTTCCATTAAGAACCTTTCAGTGCCTTTTTTTACATTTCATCAAGTCCAGAATCAAGAATTGGACTTTGATATGATCTTGATGTTTAACTTTGACTAATAGGTTTAAAATACGAACTTACGGTATCCTTAAGTTTAAACACAGCTGGTAAGTACGTTCTATTTTATTCGGATTACTTGGAGATTTGCCACTATTAGTTTATTTCACCTAAAGATTATTGTCCATCCTAACCCTACCTGGGCGGGGGGTGGGTTAAGGTTAATTTGGGTTAGGTTTGCTCAAAGGTCATGATCAGAACTTAAGGGCATAACTTAAGCCCAATGGTCAAGGTTAGAACTTAAGGTCAAAACTTAAGGTCACAACTCAGATTCACAGGTCAAGGTCAGAACTTAAGGTCACAGCTCAACCTCAGAGGTCAAGGTCAAAACTTAAAAACACAACTTAAACTCACAGGTCAAGGTTAGAACTTAAGGTCAAAATTCAAGGTCACCAGAGAAAAAATATCTTAAAGGACATTATTCTTAACCTCATTCACCAAATCAGAACTCACGTATCAACAGGGGAAAGCGTAGTGTATGTGTGTCTGTGTGTGTGTGTGTGTGTGTTTGTGTGTGTGTGTGTGTGTGTGTGTGTGTGTGTGTGTGAATGTGTGTGTGTGTTTTCCTATAAAGTGAGGAATTGTGTCTAGTATGTCTCAGGTCTAATGTCTCACACTGTTATGTCTCATCCAGTGTATAATATTTCCTCCCCAAAGTTATTATGGTCTAATTACAACTTTTTTTATCCTCCGTGTTGTTTGTTACCTGGTGATGTCTACTGTTTGGTTAAGTCTGTATATTAGTTTGATTATGGTCGCTTATTGCTCTGGTGTCTGCAGTCTTTCATTAATCTCTAAGGTTGTGCTTTTAAATGAGCCTTAAGGTCAAGGTCAAGGTCAGGGTCAAGGTCACTGAATAATTGTAATTTACATTCCCAGTGGTAACAGGAGGTGGTAGAGTCATAGCCAATTACGATACCACCAAGTATTGCTGTGTGAGTCGCGCCTCGTCCTGCCGTCGTTTCCTGTGTTATACCTAACCTAACCTAACTTAACTGATGGTTGAACTTCACTCGTACGGCATAATGCTGTCAATGATCAGCACTAATCAGCATTGTTTTTTATTTAGCTTTATTTGATTTCTTTGTTTAGCAATAGTACTGCATTATGTATTGAATCATTAGACATCCAAACTTAGATGATGTTTGTCCAATACACATACAGCTACACATAACAATCCAATACTCACACATAAAAAACAAACATATAACATACACCGTTTACGCAGGTATGAAAAAAACCCACAAACACTCACTAATACACAAAGGCATACACAGTCATTCATACATAGACCCTGATAGAAGAATACCAAATACACACGGGGAGAGACAGTGTATTTCTGATCTTGTGAGTGGTTGATAGTGACGGGAATATTTAATGGTATATGAACTTTTATCTTTATGTAAACGTTGTAATATTTTTCCCACGACAAGTCTGTATACGGTAAACAAACCTACAATTCGCATTAAACTAGAGTCATAAATTTTGCGTAAGACTTTGTGCCATTATATTATGTGACTCCTTAGATTATGTTTCGGCTTTATTCGTGTGTTGTATCGGTCAAGACACTCATGGCTCTCCAAAATATATGGCTCACCAAAATGTATGGCTTTCCAAAATGTATGGTTATTCTAAATGTATGGCTTTCCAAAATGTATGGCTTTCCAAAATGTATGGCTCTCCAAAATGTATGACTCTCCAAAATGTATGACTCTCCAAAATGTATGACTCTCGGATAGTCCTTTTATGGATTTCTCAACAGTTATGGACATTACGATGGCGTATCCTTTAATGTCATATTTTATCGAGTAAGGTTTATATTTTTCTAAAGCTACTCTATGTTTTACCTTCCTCCTATTCCCTCCCTTACTGCTTTAATTTTTCAAACATTGCGTACACATGAATTTGATGGCATTGAGAATATGTGATATAATTTTGGACTACGACAAAGGTACACGGGTACTTACAGTCTTGTAGTTTGTCTCTTGCAGTTGTCTTGTGCGATCATGGAGAGATTCCTCACAGTAAAGGAAGCATTACATAACACTTCATATCCAGCGTGACCCTGATCTTGCTCACCTAACACAAGGGACACGTTCTCCCCTGATAATAAGTCAGAGTCAATCCCTGACGCCATGTGAATATCGGCCACATTCTCCGGACTTTGAACACCTCGTCTGTCGTACATTGGATCACTACTGTAGTAAGTAAGATCAACATCACCCTCCTCACTTGGAACATTAATGAAATTTGGTTTAGGGACACTGACGTCAGCCTGACCCTGGTAATCACTCTCGAATGTGTCAGGGAGGTTCTGAAACACAAAACACAAACATTTTTCTGGTTCACAGGGGAAAATATATTCGTTTTCGTGATCCATGGCAGAATGGTAGAAGCTGAAGTCGAAATAAGACGGTTCAATTGTATGTAATAGATCCGGGCCGATAGTGTCGTGATCACTGTCACCGTGTTGACCAGCAGAGTGGTAGAGGTCGTAGCCAGTATTATGGTCACTAGGTTGTAAATTATCTGTGTCGATGAAATCGTGATCAATGTCACCGTAATTTTGATAACCAGTATAGTGACTGAAATTAATGTTTTCACTATCGTCTCGTCTAGGTGCTACACCGTCGGGAGAGTTGTAGTCTTCAGGGCCAGCCTCAGGAGGGCCGTTCCCCTGCATCCTATCATCCACGGGCATCCTCCCACCCACGCGTGGCACTTCATCCACGTGTGACACTCTGTCTACATAATCGGGACCTAGCAGCTGTGGTAAGCCACCAACACCTGGGTTGCCAAGCATGTGGAGTATGTTTGTGTTCGCGTGTATAAAATCGTCTGTTTTATTGTTTTCTCGTTCTTCACTGAGAGACAATTGAGGTTGCCCCGTGTACTGTTCAGGGTATTGTTCTGTAATTACACTTGATATTTTATTTTCTTGACGATCATGATGCAGCAATTCACCAGTTCTTTGGTTTCCTCGCAAATTATCATCTACGGATTTACTTGTTCCTGAACTTTCGTTTGTGATGCGGTTTATAGTTATATTAAGTGTTGCATCTTTACTTGAACTAATTCTCACAGTGTTTAGCAAATTGGATAAAATTTCATTCTCTGAGTCCCGAAATGGTTCAGCACTAGAATTATTGTTCACCGAGTTTTCTTTGCCACTCTTGTTAACAGCCAACAAGTCAAGGACCCCTGCATCAGATAAGTTATGTTTTTCAGGAGATAAATCGTCTGTAGGTTCATCGACATGTACCACTACACCGTCTTCACCTGGCGGGGCAGCAGGATCGGGGATCATTGAATATTTTGTAAAAGGATTGGTATCATAGAAGTTGTATTCATCATGGTAAATGTTAGTAGAGGACTGATAGTGTTGACGGGAGTCTGATTCGTCCTCTTGTGTTAGGGAGGAGGCGTTGGTAACGGAGGGAGAGGGGTCCTCGGGCACGTGTTGCATCCTAGGATGGGAACCAGCCTCCGTGGCGCTACTGTGGGAGAGGACACACTCTATGGTGCACACAGTCACCACCACGAGCAATAAGAAGAGTCCGGGGGACCTGATCATTGCTAAAAAGTGAGGAGTAAGAGAAGGTGAGGAAGTCATCAGTATTGCTGAAGGAAAAAGGACTGGTTGAAGGGTCATTTACGTTTGAGATTCACCGACATGTTGCAAGCGAGGAAGAAGTACCACTCACACAAATTCCAAATATTTCCCACTTATTCTTCATTGTAGGATGCCCTTGAGACACGAGGTATTAATCGTGAATATAATTTTTCTCTTACTCTTAACGAAGTTTGTGTCCCAGTTAAATCCTTCAGAGACACGATAACAATACATCTTCATAGCTTCTATAATGACCACCGTATGTAACACCCTGAAGACACTGGTTTAAAGGTAATCAGAGTCGGCAAATTCAGCAGGTGGTCGCGAGCCGTCCCGGGGCACAAGTGAATGGCGTGGCGAGTAAAGCAGCGGGAACAGGGTGCATGCGCCAGGGAGGGAGCGCCGCGGCTAACACAACCTTCTGCCACTACTGCTGGGAGTCTACTAGCCCACAATTGCGCCGAGAGCTTACTCTTTCAGGATTCTCGCAGTCATTCATTGTACGGCGCTGGTGTGTATGTGTGTGTGTGTGTGTGTATGTGTGTGTGTGTGTGTGTGTGTGTGTGTGTGTGTGTGTGTGTGTGTGTGTGTGTGTGTGAAGAGAACGAGAATGATACACGAGCATAGTAATGCTGCATCATAATTAGGAACCAAACACTGTATATAAATTACTGCTCTATAACTTTTGATGGCAATAAAGTTTTAAAATAAACTTTGTAAATCTGCGAAAAAATATAAACACAAATAAGACGTCAGTATGCAGCTCCCCAGTACACGTAGAGAGTAACCCGAGTAACCCCGTGTGTTTATACTGTAAATGGGGAATTTGTCTCTGTCAGTGAAGCAGTCACTCGGCAGTGCCCTGGAGGGGAACACCTCCCAATGGCAAGATAAAGATGGAACTTCGCCCATTACCAGAATTGTGTTCATTCATCAGGACTCCCTCACCTTCTCTCACGCCCCCTGGTGCTTCACTGCCAAGGCAACAAGTAAGTTCGGCGTTTTTTTCTATCAGGAGTTTACTGTTGAGCAATGGTTATCTGAGGCTCCTCCAGCATGAAGAAACAAGGAGCACGAAATTATAATGTATTTTTATATATTTTATGTCATATAGATAGATAGATAGATAGATAGATAGATAGAGAGATAGACTCACTAAATTGCAATTACCAATCCATAGCCTCACCACAATCAGCTAGTAGTATTAGTAGTTTATACCGCCGGGGTTTCTTGTCAAGGTGACGTCTCATTACTCTTCCACTAAAGGCTGCCTGTGGTCCTGAGGGAGTGTGTACGTGAACATACACACACTCTCCAAATAAAACTTTTGTTGTCTGGTGAAGTATGCATAGATTTACACGACCTGGTTTATTGCATTCTTTACTTCGCTGACTCTCTCTATTTGTCTGTGTCTCTCTCCCTTATTTTCCATTATGTTTACCAGGCACTCACCCCCCCCCCCCACACCCCACACACAGAAATAAAATCTCTCCCCCCACAATCCCCCACCCTCCACACAAACTATGATTCTCTCTTTCTCTTTATTTATCTCTCTCTCTCCCTTATTTTCTATCATATATACCACCCTCACACCCCACAACCCCACACCTAACACCCACACCCCACACCCCCACAACCAACACCCCCACACCCCACACCCCCACACCCAACACCCCCACACCCCACACCCCCACACCCAACACCCCCCACACCCCACACCCCCACACCCAACACCCCCACACCCACACAACCCCACACCTAACACACACCCCACACCCCACACCCAACACCCCACACCCCACACCCCACACCCAACACCCCCACACCCCACACCCCCACACCCAACACCCCCCACACATAAACAATATCTCTCATCAATCCTCCACACACACACACACACACACACACACACACACACACACACACACACACACACACACACACACACACACACACATACATACAAGGTCGTCATACCAAAGGTGTTGTACAAAAAATCAAGGCGTGATCTTCTGCAAGGGTTATTAGCCATACTACCCACAAGTGACTTGAGCCTTTCAACACCTGCATGATCAGTGTGGTAACAAGTCTCGTGACCTTGAGCCCAATAATCAACACGAGAGAGAGAGAGAGAGAGAGAGAGAGAGAGAGAGAGAGAGAGAGAGGAACAAGTACTGAAAAAGAAAGATAAAGTAAAGTAAGAAACAAAGAAACATACAGTATGCAGTATTCATTTATAAATCAGGTTAGGTGACCAGATAGATAGCTTTCCGTATTCATCAATTAAAAATAAAAAAAAGGTAGATGCACATACCCAAAGTCTCAGGTGGAAATCAATTAATCAATATTATTTAACACTATATAATACCCACACTGGAACGACTTATAACATTAAGGTATACAATTATGGTAGAACGAGAACTGTAATATATAGATGGATATATCGATAAGAAAAACATGAAATATATTCAGTAGGTCCAATTGTTACATGAAGAGAGTAATTACCTTTTCACTCAAGGATTTCGCAAAATTATTGAAATATTATCATTATTTTCACACCATCGTAATGGCTTTAAAAAAAATTGTTCAGTGTACCATATAATTTTTGTCGTGCTTCTTAATACACGTATACATGAAACACCAACTTGTTGACATATGTATAATTTGTCTCCTCCTCCTAGTGAGTTTACCTACAGTATGTATAACATATTAATACAACACTGAAGTAAATCACAAGAGTATAAGGATAATGTTATATTGTTTGTTTATTACCTTGTTTTGGGGTAGTCCTGCCTGGTGGACGTCTTCGAAAGCGTTGAATTGAAGAAACAATATATTTTGTAACTTGTTAACGATATAAGACGATTTAATATAGTTGTGTTTTATCTGATTGTGTGTTTTGTTTTTTGTTTTATTCGGTTAATAAATTGAGTTAAACAAAATAAGAACAAAATTCTCAATGTTTCTTCACAGTTGACGGACATTTTGAGACACTGATGAGGACAGAGTTTGGAAGTGTTGTTTCAGAGGTTCATGACCAGATATGATATGTGTTCGTTACAGTCAAATCATCCATATTTGATAATAGTCTTTATAATTGGAAGAGTATAGGTTTCTTATGAGCACAGAATAATTTAAGTTGCAAAAAAAAGAAAAAGAAAAGTAATTACAAGGGTTCCAGATCAGTGAATCAGGTATTTCGTAGATTCAAAGAGAAAGATACAATCGAAGTCTTTTCAGATTAATGAGACAGGTTCGTTCACTCTCTTGAAGCTCCGACACCTGCTTTGAGATGTTTTATGAATCAATGCCATCAACCGCTAGGATCAGTTAGTTTTAGTTACCCCGCGGCTGTTGTCGTGTTAACAAGTGCCACAAGGAAGTGTTAAGTGTCATCATTGGTGAGGGAATATAAAATGAAGAGGTAAGTGGTGGTCAACACGGGGTGTATTTGTTGAAGTTAATGTGTTAAATATGAGGATGTACAGAACACGGTGAGGCTGTAGTTGTTGACTCATCTTTTAACACAATCGTCTGCTAAAACTGTATAACATTACTTTATTCCCCTTCACTAAAAACTCTTACTAATCAATCCACAAAAAATCCCACAAATAACATTTCACAAGGACTTACTTGGCGGAATACATAGACATATTGTTATGGTTAAATGGGGAATAAGCCAGTGTGTTTATAATATGGCGTCTTAGGGTAAAGATTCGGTAGACTATGTAATCGGAAATTATAACCAAAATAGGTTTTTTGTTTTGTTTTTGATAGTGATATTGAAAGACGGTGACCTTTATTTTCAGCGCTAATGTTTGTTTATGGTGATAGGGCTCCCTAGCAACAAGGGTTTTCACAAAGAGGGCAGGGCTTTGAAGACGAGGGAAACTATGGGGTTAAAACACTAAACAAAATCCTCCAGTCAAGCCTTTGGTAACCTGACCTAATCTTTTTTAACGTAATATAATACTTAATTTTACAATAATATTAATGTATTTAACCGATGGAGGAGCATAAAGTGATTCTCTTCTCGTTTCTGCATGTTGTCGTACATCACAAGTGTTTACCTCTGCCTTACCTGATGTAGGCAGGATCAGATTACAACAACATTGACGGATTTTAAGTTTACTAGAGCCACTTTCGCGGGATGTTATATTAAATTCTCATTCACGTAAGCTTTACATAATCAGCTTTGACCAATCGAAGGACGATATTTTTTTTCTCTTGAGAGGTTTACGCATGCGCAAAAAAATTCTTCAAGAATTATTCATAAGTATTATGTGTTCCTCGTGTGTCGGATGTTCCACGAATAAATGCGGAACCATTCAACGTGTTCTGGAGAATATCGATGCTGCTATTGATATTCTCAAGGAACATGATATTTTGCATACTTCGCTAAAGTGTCTTCTCTTTATCCTCCTCGTCAGGTAAATAATGTAGGTTTTTATAGTATTAGGACTTTTTCTCGGTTATGAAAGGTTAGGTCAGGTTGCCAAAGGTTTGATTATTATTTGAAGTGTTTTAATCACACATTTTCCCTCGTCTTCAAAACCCTGCCCACTTTGTGAAACCCATAGTCGTTGCTAGTGCTGGCGAGTCTTATCTCCAGAAATGAATATCTGCGCCAAAAATAGAGGTCCTAGTCTTTTTAATCACCATCAAAAGCATAAGGAACCCCTATTTTTTTATTATTTTCCGATTATGTACCTAATCTAATTAAACCTAACCAAATGGCTTTAATTTGAATTTCAGTTCGGTGGGTCAAGTAAGATTTGGTTAGTTTGTTTGTCGTCATTTATGGTTTAATCAGATATGATCACAAACACGACTTCCTTTCCATAACAAAAAAAAAATAGCATTAGGAAACAGATGGAAATGTCTGTTTACAATGGGGTCGGACATTACAAGACAAAATCATTTCTAACACAAGGAAATAAGCTATTTAAACCTAATCTAATCCAGCTTAACCTAATCTAATCCAGCTTAACCTAACCTAAACCTGCTGACCCAACATTACGACCTTGCATTATTTTGAAGTTATTTTATTTATTTTTTTACGTTTTTTTGGTAAAGTTGTAGGAGACTTCTGCTTAGTAGTAAGAATTTTGGGTAATAGAATAACAGACGACTAACACCATAAGGATTTATTTTGTTTATGCTAATTTTTTCCACAGATGTTCTTTGGGTGATGGTAAGTAATAGAAATGATTACTCAACTTTTTATGCTCATCCATCAACAGGAAAACCCCAAAAAGTGAAGCCTATAGCCTTGAAAACAAAAGAAAATCAAGCCAGTATTAATGGAAATAAACACTAAATGAGAGCCTCCGTCGTTGCTTTAAATGTTTACAAACACCAAAATCACAAATTTATTGTTTATGAAGAGACACAAACACGTGATGCCACAGAAATATTATTGGTGTAAT